CCCCCCCCCAGCCGCTGACACTTTACCAACCGTAAAAGGTGAACAGTTAATCACTGACTAAACGCCACGAAACGCAGGCAATATACGCACAACCCCCCCTCCTCAGAAAAATCCAGCAGGATATGACTGTAGGCTACCTGCCTAACCCCAATCGTCTCTTTCACTCCCTCTCGTTCTTCCAATCCCTCCTTCGTCCCCAGACCGTACTTTTCTTATACACGCTATATTAATTTCCTTTCTGCAACACCTACCGCTTCGTTAAGCCGATTAACTACGTTTCCGTACTGGCTCCCAGAAGCTGACATCCGCCTTCTCTTCGTTGAATAAATCAGGAATGTAAGTCTATTTCGAGGTTGGGGATACATGGGGGGGATACACGAGCTTTGAAGACGGTCCATCTTTAATTCATAGATAAAGGGGTTAAAAATAAAGGGAGAAAATCAAGAATAAAGAAGACACGTAGAGATGGAATTTACCAAAAGTGCAGCAATGTTACTCGGCCTCTCCAGCCCCCCTGCTTTTTAACATTATAAGCAATCATTTTGGCGAGAAACATGCTACAACACAGTGCCCAGATATTGAAAGAGAGGGAGAAAAATAAGGGGTAACGACGTGACAAAGGAAATACAGAAGAAGCAATTATGAAGAAGAACGAAGGGAGAGAGACGGGCGCCTGTTGGGGGGGGCGCAAATGCAGGAAAAGGGGGGGCGACACGGGAATGTGCCTGCAGGGGCTGCGCGCTGTGGGGCTTGCGGGAAGGAGCATGCCCGAGCATGACATCATCCCCCCTGAGCACGCAGTCCCCTCCTCCTGGCTTGTCAGTCAGATAACCCGGCGGGGGGGGGTGGGGGGTTTGCCCCTGCCTACAGCCGAGGCTCCTGCCCCCTGTCGTCATGGTGTCCACCCTTAACCCCCCAACCTAAAAGCACCATTTCCTCTAACTCGCTGTAACAAAGTGTAGCGTTACACACACATTACACACACACACACATTTATTATGTCAGGGAATTACGATGATGGGGTGCAGATGTGGCATAATTCGTCATGTAGCAGCTTCAGAAAAGAGACTTCTGGTGTAAGGCTAACAAAAAAAGACCTCCAGAATGTACTGGAATTTATCACATTCATGCATGACGGCTCAATTTGTGTGTGTGTGTGTGAGAGAGAGAGAGAGAAAGAGTTTGTGTGCTTGTGCAGGTAAGTGTATAGGAGTGTCTGCACAGGTTAGTAAAACTGTATATGTGCACATGTATGCGAGAGCTTTTGACACCCGGTACTTATGGCTGAAGCAGGGCGGTCAGGCATGCATGTAAAAATGCAGGTATGTGTGTGGGAATGTATGCCCTGGTATTTAATGCTGGCAGATTTGTTGGTATGTGTGTCTGAGGCTGACATATGTCCCAGTTCAGAGATTTCCCAGTGTGATTCCCTCATGACCGCTACATTAGGGTTAGGGTTCGGCGCACACACACACACACGCAAGCACACACACACACAAACACGCATACACATACACCCCCCCCTCCATGTTCTCTTTCTCCAACTTGACCACGCCTTTACTAGCCCATTTCTCCAGAACTTTCCGCTGAAAATGAGCAGTTTCTGGCCATCCGCATTTTCTTGATGCTTTTATTATCTGTACAAAACAGCTCACTGAGGAACAACCAGTAGAGCAGGAAGCGATCAGGTCACTGGTGTCACCAATGGGCCCCGTTTCCTCAGCGACACACGATCGATCGATGACAGTAACTGGAGACTGAAAATGACGACTCGATGGGCTGCACTTTCACTGGAATGAGTAACGTGTGACCTTGCCAAGGCTGGACACCGACTGCGGTCTCAGTAATCAGAGTGACTTTTTCAGTAAAGACCTGAGGCATCAAGGAAAACAGTATAGTCCACAGCTCTTGGAGACTGGGAATGACAAATTCTGCCATCGCGGCTTGGTCTGGGAATCCAGAGTGATGGTGAGATTTCAGGTTTAAATCCCGACAGAAATCACACCTGTAACTCTGGCGTCAGTGAGGTATGACACCAGCCTATGGGTGGTGACTCAATCTTTGGAAGCCAAAGTTCAGAAACACACCCTGTCACTAAGAAACACACCTTAGTTTTACCTGCCCTGCCCCCCCCGTCTAGCTCCCCTGCTCGTCCACCCCCTCCCATCCTGCCCAACATTTCTGTGAGTCATGTATTTATCTCTGTGAGGGTGTTTCTGCACAAAATGAACTCAGTGTACAACGGTGGTCTCTCTGTTTTTCACCACCACAAGGGACCTCTGCGCGACATCTAAAAGTCCTTGTCTTTAGAGGGGACCAAGTCAGATTCTGGCTGCATCTGTGAGTGGGAGTTTGTGCTCTGATTCAGCTGCAGGCAGCTGGAAGCCTCTTCGGCCATCTCCTGCAGGGTAAGAGAACACACCGCAGTGTTGGATATGTTAACTACATCACAGGGGAGACGGCAGCATCTGAAAAACACTCAAACATTTTCAGGTGCACAAGCTTGAGCGTGAATGAAGCTGTACTGTAACATTAAAACATTTTCCAGGGGTTAATTAAAATTCTCAGCACTAATGGGTACAATCAACCCCCATTCTGGTATATGCCTTTCAGAAAAACGTCTAGGATTATCCTAACACTGGGAGTGTTCATTTAACTCTTAAGAGTGTTTAGGTAACCTGACAGGAGCGTACTAGACACTCAGTTTCTGTATATATAAACAGAGGGCATGGAGCTAAGGGCTGGGACGTTGTTACGTCACACTCTGGCCAGCTAACCTGGGAAACCGCATCCTGCAGGTCCCGCGAGGGGATTAGGCAGCACGCCTCCCCCAGGAAGCAAATGAACATGTGCAGCACGTCTGTCCACCAGCCCACCATCAGCATCAGCAGCAGCAGACCCCCCAGGCGCACCATCACTGTCTGATGCACAACCTCTCCACCAGGGCGGCGATGTTGCTCCTCTGGGGAGGGGGGTATTTGTGTATAAATAAATAAATAAATAAATAAAGATATGCCTCTCGATATCAGGAGTACCATTCTGCCCCCACACTTACCTTGTGTGTGGACAACCAGCAACATGTAGCAGATCGTAAGCGGCATCCAAAACCTCAGAGCTTCTGCTGCTGACAGGAAGTGGTGGTTGATGATTGATATGGCGGCGACAGCAGCCACGCAGAAGGTCACCATGAGGCTGTGGGTCAGGAGGGGCAGCAGGGCACGACTAGAGGCCACGAGGCTGAGGCAGACTCCGCAGTAACGCTGGGAGCTGTGTAGGGGGTACAGCGCCATCACGTGGTGCCACAGGTGGCTGCTCTGCCTCGCTAGAATCCAGCTCAGCCCTGCCGCCAGGAGCAAGCTTAGCAAGCGCTGGGGCGCCCCCTCCTGGAGGAAGTGGAGACTGCAGCTCAGAGCACAGCCCAGGGAGAACTGGCAGCTGACCATAAACTGGAGGGCGGCACTGGGAGGGGACTTCTGGGGAGAGAGGTTTAAAGAAAATGCAGTGCAAAGTCATGAAAGGCAAGAGGGCAGTATGGACGGCTGAAGGGGTGGGGGGGGTCACTGGTCATGTGACTTCTCACCGATCCAACGGTGACCCAGGCCGCCACCGCTCGCAGAGAGAACTCCAGGACCACCAGGGAGGCGACGCGTGGTCCCACGACGGTCAGGATGCTGATCAGGCAGCAGAGGTGTAACGTTCTCCCCAGCCCAGGCCTGGGCCCAGCCAGCAGCCTAGGTGGCTCTTTCTGGCTACTTCCATCATCCTTCCTACAAGGCAGGAGAGACACCGAGGTCCCCAGGTTACGAGCGCCCAACTTACGAACAATTCGTATTTACGAACAGACTGCCATAAAGCCTATTATATTAAAAATTTGGGTTATATACAATGGTTCGTAATAATGAACTCGAGCACTTCAGCGTTTCGTCAGCTCGAGGTTCAGTAAAGTACTGGGTGTAGCTACTTCTATTAGTACTGTCGCATTATTATGTTTTGTATTTTCTTAAAGCCAGACGGATCTGGGGACCGCCTGCACTCATTGGGCCATTACTGGCCAAGCAGTGAAAGCGATATTAATTGGGGAAGATGGTGGCACAGGAGGTAGTGCTATCGTTCGGCAACTGGAAGGTTGCAGGTTCGAGCCCTGGTTCCTCCTGACCCCATCAAAGTGTCCTTGAGCAAGACACTGAACCCCAAATTGCTCCCGGTGTGCAGGTTGGTGCCTTGCATGGCAGCCTCTGCCACCGGTGTGTGAATGTGAGTGTGGATGGGTGAATGTGAGGCATGTACTGTAAAGCGCTTTGAGTACTCGTAGGAGTAGAAAAGCGCTATATAAATGCAGTCCATTTACCATTTAATCCAGATCAGTGTTTCCCAACCCGGTCCTCGGGGAACCCCAGCCGCTCCACATTTTGCTCCCTCCCAGCTCCACCCAGGACCGGTTTGAGGAACACCGCTCCAGAGAGCGGAGCGCAGGCAGCATGTCTTTGACGCTCACCTCACAGCCTTGATGAAGAAGTGAACCCTCAGCAGATTGCACAGCACCAAGATCCCAGAGGTGCTCACTACCCCTGGACGACAGGCGACAATGTGTGCGAGACGTTACAGACAACAGAAGGAAAACAAGTCGTGAAGGGCAACAGTTTTCCTGATGATATATATGATTTATCGCTCCTTACCCCTAAATTTTAGGATTTCTTGTTACATGTAATTGTCAAGCACCTTGCTGGGTTGTAACCACTGCAGAAGGTGACTGTGAGTTTAAGACTTACCGTTTTTTTGTCATTTGTTTACTATTTTTACTTAATTACTATTATGGATTTTTTTTCTTTTGTTACACTGATAGTGCTTAAACTGTAATTAAACAAAAGAAACTGCAAATCACCAAAAGCTTCGGACTGGCAGTGTATACAACTAACTTAATATTGCAGCTACAAAAGGAGCTGAATAGAAATAGTAAACAGTAATAATAATAATAATAATAATAATAATAATAATAATAATAATAGTAGTAATCAATAAATGACCTCACCTTGTAGCAGACTTTCAAAGAGATTCACTTCGAAATTCATGATGTCCGATATGGAAGGAAGCCAGAACAGCACTGAACCTTTAAGGGCCAGATCACTGCTGTTATCCAGAACCCTTCACAACAGCTTTTTTCCAACCAATTAGTGTCCGGTTTCAATTCAAAACTACATGTGAATATATTCCCATGAACAATTTCAATAAATGACGTAATTGTGCCGTTCAATTCATAACGCCTCAAAAGATTACTTGTATATAATAAATTGTTCCTTGTCCATTCCCTGCCTTCTGTCCTCTGGAAATTGAGGTTTATTTGAAGTTTTGCTGGAAGGCGTTTCAAAGGTCAATTGTGTGACTCACGTCAATACATCTATCTGTGACACGGGATCAAGATATTTTGGCTGGACACAGAGGTTCTCTTTGGAGATAAGGCAGAAGGGAAGATATCTATGTATAGAATAAAAATTTGGTTAATACTTATTTACGTTATTCATCAAGAATTAGGCTAACTAGTGTCTCCATATTGCTCGTAGCATTTGATAATGAGTGTGTAAGCCTCGCTAGCCGCAGCTGAAAGCAGAACAGACAGCTACCTAGATGTCCCAGATGACATGGCTGAGAAATGATCACCAGGTTTCTTGGTAGGGGGGGGGCTGTCACTACAGGATCATAGTCTAGCATGGATGTGAGCCGCACATGTGCCAGCATTGAAAGCCAAATACAAAAATAAAAATAAAAAATGTATGGCAAGTTTCTGTGAGGGGCTTTGCCAGTGTCAATACAAACAATTAAAGGTAATGTCACCCAGGCTGTACCCCAGCCCTGTGAGGGGCTTTGCCAGTGTCAATACAAACAAACAATTAAAGGTAATGTCACCCAGGCTGTACCCCAGCCCTGTGAGGGGCTTTGCCAGTGTCAATACAAACAAACAATTAAAGGTAATGTCACCCAGGCTGTACCCCAGCCCTGTGAGGGGCTTTGCCAGTGTCAATACAAACAAACAAAGGTAATGTCACCCAGGCTGTACCCCAGCTCCACACCCTATGCTACCTAGACCTTCAACCACAAATTTTAATGCATCAAAATGTATGTATTATTCTCCTGTTTTGAATAGACGAGTTGTTTTTGATAATTATACAATTTTAAAATTCCGTTAAATACATTTATTATGCATAAATAATTGCTTGGTAATGAAAACAAATGCTAAATATTTCAGCGTTGACATTCATATTATGATCTTATGAAAGGGCTATTTAGCATTCGTGTCACACCCATCCTGCTCGCTCTCCATTGGCTCTCTGTGACACATCAAGTTTTTACAGGCCCATCAATCGAAAAACACCCATCTCCATCAAGAGGCTCCTTAACACCCACATCCCATCTTGCCCCCATCGGTCAGTAAGTCCTCCACCATGAGAGGAGTGTCTCTCCAAATGGCGCTCATGTTCATTTCCCCAATGGTGAAATAAGCTGCCAAACTATATCCGGTCCTGCAACTCCATCTCCAACCTCAAGACCCATCTGTTCCATGAATTTCTCTTCTAGCCTGATGCCCATGTTCCTTGAATGCTCTTAATGTTGCACTGCTGGTCGTTGAACAGTCGTCTTAGGTTCTTGCTTTGTTGGAAGATGCAAGCAGTATTGAAGCAGGAGCTACAACGCTCGTACCTGGGCTTTCATCGGAAGCTCAGCCTAGCTGTGCTTATGCCTAGGCGAGTCCTCAACATCGTGCATGCTTGTAACGTGCCATTTGTCTTACTTGTACAAAACTATATTTAAAATGTATTCAAGTTCAATACTTATTTATCTACAGTAGTGTAGTAAATTTTGCATGATCAAACAACTGAAATCCTATACAACTGAAATTAGGGAAAGACAGGGTTAACACAAAAGAACCCGGCGATCATTAAATAGACACAATATGGATGAAGCGTCATCTTGTCTGGACAGATAAATGTTCGAAAGGTAAACATAGTGCTTTCAGACTCAGGTTGACAGGAATTCCCAGAATTCTCCTCATGGTGATTGTGATGGATTCCTTTCTGGTCTTGCACCAAACACAGTTGTGATCCTGGAAGCATTTATAAATAGGCCACAGAAACACTCTGCTGGCAAAGTAAATAATGTTCCTGACCACATCTGTCACGGACATATGAAAGAGTTTACGCAGCGATTTCTATTCAGAAACAGCTCATTCCAATGGGATAGGCCGTTTCTTTAGTCTAATTGCAATTTTGGTCACATGGCTCTGTATATCATTCCAACTGTGTAGTCATCGTCCTTGCACACACTGCCAATAATCCAAAGGAAAAGTTGAAATGACTGCAGTAAAGGTAAAAGCAGGAACCATTTTAGCATAAATGTTATTAAATATTAACCATCAAGTACAGGCTCACAGTAACCTTGTATGGATAGATGGATGGAATTACTAATTGACCAATGGAGCTTAAAATTGACAAACTGACTAGCCAGCTTAAAAAATGTTATCAGGGAAAATTATGCAATGAGCGTGTGATAGACTTTTACAGGTTTGTAAGCTTATGTCTCGCCCAGATTAAACAGGTATTCTAACAAGAACAGTCAGGTTACATTTTGGCACAACAAGGACAGACGTCATGAACTTCACCCTCCAGATGTAGAGACAACACATTGGTCGGGGTACATGATATTGCCGATGCAGTTCACCAATATTATTGCTAAAAAAATATTATCACACGACAGAATGAAATAGCAGTAACTACTGTACTTTAAAAATACTGTGTGTGGAAGAGGGCATACCACTAAGGGGTCTCCAGTCATTTTTTCTACAATGTACTGTAGCCGCACAGCTTTAGAGAAACACAACCCCTTTAACAGTTCGCTTTAGTCAAAACAAAATCGAATTGTTCAAGGAGACAAAGTCTTCAGCCGTGGTAGTGGGAACTAGCTGAACTCCGGCACAAAAGGCCTGCGACAAATGAACCGTAGAAAACAATGTGTGCATTTTCGACTGGTCACCAATGACAAGATCGTGGGAATGCACTGTGAAAAGATTAACTTCTGCATAAATTATTTACAATGAAAGACGAACTGTGGACTTCCTTCTCAAGAATCCCATCTTTAATTTCAGTTGTTTGCAAAGAAGAATCTCTTCAAAAGTCCAAATTTTACAGAGATTTTCAGTAGGGCAAAGAAAGATCCTAGACCGTGCATGTTCACAGAAACATTATTCAAAGCGCTGCAACCAAGTCTAAAGACAATAGCTACGTTTCTTTCACACCATGTGATGCCAAAAGAAATGAATACTGGTGCATGAAGTAAATTTAAGATACTTTATGGCGCGGAATGGTGACAGAGGCAAACAACTATATCTGAAATACTTGAGGTAAACCCCATCTCCATCAGCAAAAACCCTGAAGTGAGCTAGCAGGAGGAATCCGATTGCATTTTCAGGAGAGTGGAGGCTTCTATGACGTAATCCTGGTTGGATACGCCGTTATACTTACAGAGAAGCTCGGATTTCTGCTTTTGTGGCGTCACGCTGAAAAGGTTTTGTTGCGTTTTCCCTCCTCAGACGTTTGCTTGCAAATTGACATTTTTTTTCCCCCCAGTTATTTTTAAACGAAACAAAACGCAATGACGTGTTAGGAAGTGAATAGCGGATTTGGCACAATTGTAAATGACACGTAGGGTATTATATTCCTAATGTTTGGCGTTTAGCCGAAAGAAGAACCCGCGCGCTGATTAGTCGGTAACGGAACATTATACTGACATCATGAATTTGGGTACAACTTCAATACCAATCTAACCAGGCAAGAATAAGAGCATGGAAAAGCCGTGACTGGTTTATATTTTCTTTTAAAACTTCAAAAATTGAATGGGGCCAAATATGAAAAAGGAACCTTGAGTTCGAATCGCATGATGCCGTTTTACGCCGTTAACCCGAATAATGTATTTTTTTTTCCTTTTAAATCGCCTACATATTAAGCTACTTTCATCAAAAGGGTTACCGTAGTACAAATACAATATAGCTAGCGATGTATTTGATTAAAATTGGTGTTGCTCATGCAGTCGCTTACCGAACATTTCTGGTATTCCAGCAAGTCAGACCTGCTCCTGACATATAGATTTTGCTGTTGAACTGAAGGCGCCTCGGTGACCAACACAGGAAAGTAAAGCTTGCTTTTCAGACGTAATTTTCACCTTTTTATCTGTTGAATACGGCTCACCTGTTTAATTAAGGGGGGCGACCTCTGACCGCTGCGGCTGTGACTCTATACCGTCCTGTGGAGGACAGCTATGGTTTTTATCTAGATAAATAACAAAACCTAAAAACCTTTATATATTTCTGACAATATTAATTAGCATTTATCCAGGACATTTGTACAGGAAAGTGTTTTTGGTCAATCAGAGTTAACCGTCCGATTCATGCATTACAATAAAAAGTGCAACGATCCTTTCGAGTTCATTTGATGTTTTATTATTAAATGGCATTTGGGAAAGTCCGACTACAGATACACACAATACGAACAAACAGGCACGCGGATTAGGCCTATTGCAGATTTCCGGCATCCCATAATAACATGAGACACACCCGTGTGCTGGGTCAGAGGTTAGTGTTCAGCCCAAAGCCCCGGGGGGCGGGCTGATCGATGTTGGAGAACATTTCAAAAAGCTGAAACATGGAGAATTACAACGATCTCCAGCTTTCATCATCAGCATTATCAGCTTTCCTGCACTGGCTCTGTCCAGGAAAACCGTCAGAATTAAAATGTTCTATTTAACAGAACATTTTAAAATGTTAATCTCTGGCATATAATAAACCTTTCTTAATGTTACTAAGTTAGTTTCGTCAAAACGAACTAAACTTATTTTGACACCACACTTTAAAGCCCAGCTACTAGCGTAACATTATTCGCGGTAACTGAAAATGTTTGGTATCAAAAGTTAACGCTACATTATGTATTAAGTGCAATGAACCGGAGTTCCACTTGATTGGAGTCTATCTGACCGGTTTTACGGGAAACTACTAAATCACGGGCAGTCTTAACATCTATTACGATCTCTCTGCATCTTCAAACCCTACATCGATACTCAAACTACCCCTGTTATTTGATCCCTATTCATTTACCCAACCTCCCCCCATCCCGGACCACCGCTTCACGTCTCAGTCGATACTCCTGCCCAGTGCGCATGCGCTCCAGAACACCGCCCTCAGTCGCGTTCGGGATTCTCGTAGTACTGAAAGGCTCGCTGCCTCATCAGGTCCCAGAACAGCATGCTGAGGACGGTATGGGGGGCCAGGCGCAGGAACACCGGACCCATACCCTTATAGAGGCCCAAAGGCCCCTCAGTCTGACACACTTTCAGTAAGCAGTCCACGAAGCCACTGTACAGGCGCCCCTAGAGGACAGGCAAGAGAACTGTTGTCATTTTAATGTAAAATAATGGTTTTAATAAAAAGAATCACATTTCTTTTTGGACAACAGGTTGTGACAGGCAAGAGTGTAGAATTTCTCACCCTTCGCAGCTCATCCACAGGCTGGTTATATAGTCGTGTGCTAATGACATCAAATGGAGTCATTGTGAATGTCACAGCGATTCCACTGATAGTGGCAGCTGTCAAAGCAATCAGCCAGCTGTGTGGACTGAAGCACTGTAACAAGAGTATATTATTATGGACATAAGTATTTAGCTGTGGGAAATCTATCATTAGCTTGAATTAATGTATTATCTATTGTAGATGGAATGTAGATGTACCACCAATCAGGGTTTACGTTTTGGTGAGTTTCCCCGCCCCCTTTTCACGTCTCACCTGAGTCTGCAGGACCCAGTCTTTGGCAGAACTGAAAGTGGCAAGCTGCGATGCCGACCCCACCATGACCCTGGGCACTGCCCCGTTCACACCTCTCCACAGCCCGATCACGCCTTCTCGCCGGTAAATGGTGGCAAATGCACTCGACACCCCCTAGAGGACACAAAGGGGGAGGACAGAACCAATTTTATATGAAATCCATCCGTCTTCCAACTGCATATCTAGTACAGGATTAGAGAGAGTCTGGACTGTATCCCAGGAAAGCCAGAGCTCACGCTGGGCAGGATGCCCGTCTATCACAGGGCACACACATACATACAACTAGAATCTAAAGATGGCGATTCACCTAACGGCTTGTTTTTAGACAGCTGGAGGAAACCAAAATGACACTGAGGGCACATATGAGCAGAAATGCTATCCATCAACCGCCATCTTCATACCATCAATGCTATCCATCAACCGCCATCTTCATACCATCAATGCTATCCATCAACCGCCATCTTCATACCATCAATGCTATCTTCATACCACCCACAACTATGAAATGCTATTTATCCTTGGTGACGTCGTTTCCCTTCCAAGCAAGAGTTAATCCTTAGAGCCTTAAATAGCTAATTATATATTTACGCCTTTATGTACCTGAATATATAGTGAAGCAGCTCTTCTCTGTCCGCCTTAAGATACTTTTCCGGCTGAACACAGATAGGAAAGAGCAAAAATGTGGACCATCTCGGGCTTGCAGGGGGCACTGGTTTAGCCTGAAAAGCACAATCTGAAATGGCAAACACTGAGGCTGAATGTGGATGTGGAGAAGCTGAGTGATCATATTACAAATCCAGAGTGTGGGTTTATAAGTTGCGTTTATTACATCTACACTACTGAATATGCTGAGTATGCAATGTTACATGGTTTCGTAATTCAAAAAATTCAAATATAATGTATTTTAAACCTTCCGCTCCTGTATTGGATAATTGGGTGGAATTTGGGGGCGACCCATGACAAAAAAAAACAATCGAAGTTGCACAGCAATATGACATACCCATTTTCGCCACAAGATGTCACCGTTTTCCATATTTATCAAACAGAAATTCTTCGACAGTCCGAGAAAATGACTCATTATTTCTGATATGTAATATAATAGCAAGCAAAATGGGGCATTTGTAACTGGTGGATTTCAGTACAGATATTCAGAAAGTTGTGTTTTTGATATTTTGTTGCCTTTTTTAGTTGCTGTCGGTTTTATACACTTAAGCAGGTCTTGAAAATAATAAACTCCTGAAACACCTTTTCAAGTACAGCTGTACAACTTGCCAGATACTATACATAACTTTGGTGACTATTACTAAGTAAATTTAGCCTCAGTGTTTCTTTCTTATCACTGATTGGTCGTCCGTTACGAAGCCACCAAGCCACTGGACAGCTGTCACGTGAACGAGAAGCATTCGAACACCGACAAATGCGCATACTCACAAATCCATGTGTGCTCATCCCACGACAAGACACACACCCACCCAGGGAGAGCCAGACACACACACAGTCCCGGGATCGGCGGAAACTCCGAGCTCAGCGGAATCTGCCATATCAGACGCAAGAGACCCCGTGACAGGAAGGTGACTCAAAGAATCACCAAGTCACATGGCGGATTCAAATCAAGGGAAGCCTCAAGAGGGAACTACGTGGAGAAAATGCCCTGGAATGTCACACGTTTTCACGCTGCTGAATTTGACACAGTTAATAAGAAAACACACTCACTCCCCGCCTCACCTGGTGGTTGTGTTGGTGGCCAACAGCAATGGCTTCCACCGCCTGGGCCTGGAGATGGGTCTTCACCTGCAAAGACGAGGCAACAACTCTGTAAAAAAAATCCTCATACACCCCCGCAGGAACAGAGGAAGCCATTGTGAAGGGACTCAACCTCTAAAAGGTCCTGCTCAAAGCCAAACAGGAGTCAGCGATTCATTACCCAAAAACCTCTATTGTGGATATAAGAGAAAGCGGCTCTTCCCCTGCAGGAGCTGAACTCTCTTTTTACCACGTTATCTATCTCCGCCGGAGTCAGCATCTCAGTCGCTCATGATAAGCCGGCCTTAAATCCCACGTATTCAGCCTCCATGCATCTGAAATCGGACTCAAAGTCTCAGAGCCAAAAAACAGAGAAGCGTCTCTGTGACCCATTTGCAGACAGCAGCTAAAATAGCCACCCAGCCATCATCACCCCCCCCCCCCCACCACCACCACCGATCCCTCAAAGGAAGGGGACTTTATAAAGGGGTGGGGGGCATTCTAGGGAGAGCTGGGATATATTACAGCACTCCAATGAACAGAGCCAGGACGCAATAGGAGCTGCAAGGTCATGCAGAATGGCTGCACAGACACAGGAGGCAAAGTAAGCAGCGGCAGTTCAGGGATATTCTGAGTCGCTTTCGCAAAAAAGCACCCATCCAGGAGAAGAATCCGGTCATCAGACTATCAGAGGAGAGGTACTGGCTGAGAGGAGATGCTACTGGCTGAGCACATTCACATGATTCACATGATAAACAGTCCTGCTTTCAAATTAATCCAATGCTGCTGTCTGGTACGGGTTAAAAAGGTAAAAAATACAACATGAGAATCACAAGGGGTGTGACAATTCAAAGTTATATATGACAGCTGATAATAGGAAAGATGTGGCAAAAGACAGCTACACTGTAAATGGGGTTGACAGGGCGCTAACACGCACACACACACGGACACACACATGCACTCACACACACGGACACACACACGCACTCACACACACGGACACACACACACACACGGACACACACACATGCACTCACACACACGGACACACACATGCACACACACACACGGACACACACGCTTTTGTATTATAATCTTTGTGGTGACCGTCCATTCATTTCTACGGGAAAATCCCTAATCCCAGCAATGACAACCTACATACCTACTCAGCCCTAACCTTAATCATAAGTATCCAATTTTACTCGTCACAGATTTCTATAAAGCTGAGTTTTTCCTCACGCAGGCCCCACAATGTCAAAATAACAGGTTTTTATCACACACACACACACACACACACACACACACACACACAGGCTAAATCAGAGCCATTAATTGATCTGAGTGTCCAGGCAAAACAATAGTGAGGACAGTGTATCTGCACAGCTGAGGCCAAACTGCAATTCACTGTGCTACCCTTCATATCATAATATGCTGAATATAAACAAAAAACACAAACTTCCCCAATGAATCCAGTGACAATAAAGATCAACTGGATCTTTTGGTAAAACCTGATTCCATTCAAATTGTACATTAACTGCACTTCCTAAAAGTGAGCCCCTCGCACGGTCAGGTGCCACGTCTCCCACCCAGATTCCGCAGGGACTCACCAGGTAAGCGGGTGACGCCACGAAGGCCCCCAGTGCCCCGGCAGTGGCCCCCACCAGCAGGCTGCCCCCAGGGCCTGCCGTCAGCCCTGCTGCCTCGGCGTAGGAGTAGAAGCCCAGGCGGACCCCGTTCATGCAGGCCTGATAGAGCAGCCCGGCCGACAGCCCCTTCTGCAGGCCGCGGAGCCCGTCGGTGCGGCCCACCAGCCAGAGGGCCTGCAGGGCCCCGCGGTAATGCCGCGGGTAGGACCCCCGGGCACGCAGCTCTCCCTGCAGCTGCAGCCGCGTCTTCACCACCTCCAGTGGGTTGGTGAACACACAGGCCCCGCAACACGCCAGGGCTCCCAGCGCAAAATCCAGGGGGAGACACAGTGCCTGTGGGCCGCCTGGCTGGGCCGGATACTCCAGAAGGTGGGGCACAGGCATCGTGGGTCCCAGAAGGGTTTTCCTGTCCCTGAAGTGTCACTGACTCTGGGTCAGTGTGCTGCTCCTCACTGCCTTCCACTCATTGCTGGGCGCTAAATGGGCAAATGTGGGGGGGGGGACAGGTACAATGGAGAGCGTTAGCAGCTGTCATGGAAACGCAAAGGAACTTCTAATGCATTTCTTGGTATGAAAGCACCCATCCGCATCTGTTCGAATCAATACTGCCGCATTAAATAACCCCGCGGCAACTGTGCAAAAGTTTGTCACTGTGACCGCCGTGACAAGGAAATGTAGAGCTGATGTCCTAACCGGCCTCTCCATCTGCTGTCACGGTAAACGGGGCGGGGGACTCTGAGGGTTTGCGAAGCCTCAGAGAGAGACTGAAGGGATCATCCAGTGCACAGGCAGCACACTGCACACGGCTCGCGCCCCCCTTACAGTCCACACTGCACCTGCACGGCTTTGATCTGCGATGTCAAAGCGCATGAATAACAGGCACATGAACCAATTCAGAATGCAAACAGTGCAGCGGCACCGCGGCACCTGCACACATAAACAAGCCGCGCACGATATTAAACACGTCAAAACAAATAAGGGATGAAGGACGCCGCGTCAAGCCGAGCAGGAAACCCACGATACTTTGCATGTTATAATTTAAAACGCAAGAGAAATACTCACTTTCTTGAGTCCTCTACTTTTTTCCCACTGCTCAAAGTCAGCACTGATAAACACTGTCCTCGGCAGCCGAGTCCATTGTGCGGGACCTGCCCGTGGATTCGGCCGGCAGCCAATCGCATGCCAGCCCCATCCACGCCTTCCCTGCTCTAGTCCAATCAGCTTCTCCCACCGTCCCTCGCTCGGTTACCCCGTGGGTAACTGCGTGCCGGGGGTGCTTGGGGCGAAGGGGGGGGGGGCGGTGGAATAAAGGCTAAATGAGGAGGTAACCGGGTCAGATGTCGTCGGTGACCACGCTAGTTTCAGTGAAAAAGAAGATCCCTGTAAACCTACGTCAGTAAGAATTATTATGAATTTGCGGGTTATTATTAAGATTGCAGGTTCTCTGATACAAACACCAGAAATGGGTTTTCTATCTTTTGTTGTTATCTGGCACCAGATGGCCAGACACTCTGAGAAAGGTTCAACATTAATCCCGATCATTGTTTTGTCTCCTCCTTCCGAAGGACTTTGAAATCACAGCCATTTACAGACCTCAGTTTCTCCATGGCTGTGACCAAGTCATCCCTTACCCTCAGCCCTTTGCGGCCATCTGCATGATGTGTATAATGACACCAGAAGTTATGTTCAATATGTTATATATAATTCCTACAGTTGATCTCGTGTCACTTCATTTAGTAGCTTCTGTCTGCCTTTTGGGAAATCCTGGTTGTTTGTGGAAGAAAGGACACGCTTGCATGAGCATTGCTTACGCAACGCTATTTGTGTGCGAGCACGTCCGTATAGATGTATAGGTACTAGATCGGGCACTTCACTGAGCCTGCTTGTTAGATGCTTGTCAAGCCAAGTCAAGTCAAAATCCTTGCTCATTAGTGTGAAGTACAGTTTCCTTGGAAATGTTGAGCCATCACTAATTAAGGTGGCCCCGAAGAAGCCAGAACTCAGACACTTCATTGCCAGTATGTTCGAATATTGTGGTCCCGTGCCAAACATGAATTACAGGAGAAAATTACAAGACACACGGAAAAATGCTTCACAGAATATATATGTGAAAAACTAAGAATACAACAGAAATTACAGATTTACAGAACACAGTGCAAGACGTCTTAAGACAGTAAATGACGTCATTTGCAAAAATGTTTACAGGTGCAACAAAACCCAGTAAGTGTGGAACAGTGTTCCGCAAATCCAGAACAGAATGATGGTGGAGAAAACAACAGTTGGTCACTCTTGTATTGATCCAATAGTGCAATTAGACCAAGGGAGTAAAATGTCAGTTGTGAAAAGGAGAATTTTCCCTGGGTGATGTCTCCTATTTGCCCTGCCGGTAATCGGGTGTTGGCTGCTGACAGCCAATGATTTTCTCAGCTTCACTCAGCCAAACCATTTTTCAAACTGACGGTGAACACCCTCGTGCATGACAGCAATGTGAAGCATAAGGGTCTGCAGATATTTACATGGTTCAGTGGCAATACACATGATGTATTAAAGTTTTTTTGTTGTTTGATCGGGGTTCCTGCTCTCTACACCCAGATGTTAAGCAGTAACATTACTCTATCAGAACCTGGCTACGTGCTAAGCAAACACGGCAGGCTTGCCTACAATCTAAGTAATCTCCTGAATTCAGTTTGCAGAATATGTGTAGGTATTGCTAAATGTCTCATATCTTGTCCTGTCTTGTAGCCGCACCTCTCTGGAGCTGCCATCCCAATCTTGGTGTGCTGTCACATGCAATGACAATCAAGAATTGGATCTTGAATCTTACAAGCAGAGCCGATTCTCAAATGAGACACATCCCCAAGAATTTTCCCAAGACTGTTCTGGAAAAAACTTAGCGGGAAGTGAGGGATGATTAATTCTTTTCCCTGAGTCATGCTGAGGTAATACAAAGAAACCCTGGCAGAAGTAGGAAGTAGAAACATCACTGCATGTTACTGCAAAAGTCCATTTCCAAGTCATGTTACATAATCTCTTGTGCAGGGATACAGCGGGTGCAGAGTAACAGTGCCTGAATGCCGGGTGAGAGGAACTGAAAGTCAGATGCCTAGCGGGTAGGAACTACTGGAGGCCAGAGGAATTGAATAAGCATTTCTGTGGGGGCTGGTCGGTTTTCCATTGGCGTGGATGGGGGGCTGGGTGATTACATAGTTCAGGAGGGTTGGGGGGGCGGGGTTGACCAGCCAGGTCCAAGAACCCAGGAAGGTGTGGATGATACACAGAATTTTCTGAATAACCACATGGTTGTTGAAGGCTAACAGACTACCAGATTAAAGATTTTTCTTGTCTTATTCTCCTTCATCTCTATTGAAATTCAATAAAATTAATGTATTACTTTCATTTTTAGAATTAACAATTCATTTTACTTAAGTAATATAAATGCGGCCCTTATTACCTGGTTTCAAATTTCACTGCTGGGCCGTGATGTAGGCGATGTCAGCCCGACTGCACGAGCTGTGTGAAATCATAAAGCCGCAACTAAAGGTTGTGGAAGCAGAAAATAAGAGCTTATCGGCTTAAGTAAATATTCAACTACCCAAAGTGTGCAGTTGCGAACGTTGCACGTCATTATGGAGATTAAAAAAAATCCAATCACCCTATGACAAATACCTGTCTCACAGTCGAGCACAGTGCCATCTCGTGGTGTAACAGGGAGTTGCACGACTATGCAGCCGTATGAACCATAAGGGCAATAATGAAAATGTATCATGTCATAGTTATTAATGTGCTTTCCACCGCTGGCTCCGTTTGTGGAATTTGCAGGTTCTCCGTGTGTCGTCATGGATTTTATATCTGCTGTTTTACCCCACAGTCCAACAACATACTAAGGTGAAATGGAGTTACCAGATTGTCCGTAGATATGAATGGTGTGCATGCACTGTGATGGGTTCGCGCCCCATCCTGGTTTATTCCCTGCCTTGCGCCCATAGCTTCAGGGATAGGCTCCAGGCCCTGCACAGGACCAGCAGGTGCGGAACATGGTTGGATGGATGTATTTTAGTGATGTGTTTATTTCATGATTATGGATCACTAGCAAGAGTCTCATGAATTTCCCAAACTTCCGTGGTCATCCTGGCCAGTGATTCGCAACATGACCCCGGCTTTTGGTCTAGCTCAGCTGTTTATTAGCTAGCCTCCATTGAACACCATGTAAATTATACAGTAACCAAATATGTAAGCATTTAAGACTTAGTGTTGGGTTTCAGCTGTTTGTTAAATAGCTGTAATAACATGTGTGGTCAGTCAGGTTCTAGCAGATTTTAAGCTCAATGATGATACATTTTAAACTGTTATGTAATTTAGTCAGACTTTTCCATTCACTTAAATTGTCTCATTTTTCATTAATGTATACATTTAAATTACAATTCAAATTTGGTATCGTAATAATGTATAAACATGCTTCGACTTCATGCCCCCAAAGAAAGTGGGTGACATCTTACCCATGTACTGCATTCATAGCCTTCAGTCCAATTTGGCAAGTAGCAATCATGAACAATGGGTACAGAGTGGTTTTGTTGGGCATGACTTCACATGAACTGCACCTTCAAAATATATTATAATTCATTCATAGAACATTCAGTACACCTTCATAATGCATTCATAGAACATTCAGTACACCTTCATAATGCATTCATAGAACATTCAGTGCACCTTCATAATGCATTCATAAGCAGCTTGTAAGTATAGCTTAACATCTTAACACACCTTAACAGCCTTAATATACATTAATACCAAATATTTTATGATAGTAACAAATCAAATGACAGTTAGTGACGTTGCTTCCATATGTCAGTGGTATTGATCTTCATAGGTTTGCAGTCATAGTATTAAATGTGATATGAATACATTCTTCACAAAATCTCAAGGTACCATTGAGTCTTGTTCCACTTTTCACTCAGCTGCATCCCTTCTGTTGGCTCTAAATGTCCAACAGAAAATGGGTTAAATCAGTAAGTGATGATGAATCACCCCGATACCCACGTGGGCTAATAAATCTTATTTCTACCTTAATTACTGGCGGTTTAGTTATCATTTAAGATATCAAGGGCCTGCTATGGAGTAGAGCCACATTCTGCCTTTCTGTCTTCCTTAGAATGCCGTTATACGTCTCCAGAACTGTGTGTAACGGCATATTGGACCAAAATGCCCCCAGAAAATGAAAACCTACTTCACACTCTGTGCTTTAACACTTCTAATAAAGGTCATTGATGTTTAGGTCTGATTCTTTTGGAGGCTCCTTGGCTTTATCCAGGTGTTCATGGCAGTGTTTCCCAACACAGTCTACGTTTTTGCTCCCTCCCAGCTCCCAGCCAATCAGGAACACCGAATACCTGGTACAGGTACGCTAGGGGGTGAGAGGAAGCAAAAACGTGGACTGTCCGGGGTTCCCCGAGGACTGGGTTGGGAAACACTGGTCCATGGAACCACTCTTGAGTTTGAAGTGTGAATGGGGGGCATTAGCATGTTGGATTATAGTCACACCATGAGCTGGTAGAATTTGCATCATATAGTGAAGTTGGTCCAACAGAATGTCCTTCCTGAGCTGTCATATGACCCCCAAAGCAAACATCACACATAATTACTCCATCAAAATTGCTATCCTTGCCATTTATAAATCTCAATTATGCTGTACAGTTGGTTTTCTCAAAACATCAGTCCATCTGTATGTAGAAAACAGGGTGAGAGGTAACTTATTAGACAATATCATTTTGTTCCACTTCTTGACGGTGCAGGTCAGGTGGCTTTGTGTGTTGGTCTTGGTTTCTGAATGGCAGTCCTGCCACAAATTCCATCTTTCACTTTCAGATTGAAACCAAAGGGGTGTTGTACCCACAAACGAATTTTATAGTTTTTTGTGACAGATGTACCAACTCTTTGGCTTTGTTGGGAATCTGCTTGCTGCATTCAAAACTGACACATCAAAGTTCCAATTGACAAAGCTCTTTTACAGCTCACACACACTAACTCGCATTTAACATAGTGACACCATTGCAGCTGCATTGGTAATTGTGATTTGATTGCTTTGAAGTTATTTCCTTTCTGTTATTTCTGTTTCTCCACCTGAAGCACAGGTCCTTTAATCGTAAGCCCCTTCCAGCGAGAGCCCTTAAGCTCAGCCTTCATCACCTTCTTACCATACAGT